TTTGCACTTTTCATGCCTCACAATCTCACACACGGGGGAACCGGTCGGGGTCTCTGCTCTGATCTGCAGCTCCCCCCTCTGGCAGGGCACAAAACTGCAGGTCTGCAGATCACAGCAGAGCCTCCCACAGAAATAAACAGACGTAAAGTGGTCACGTGTGCATAAAGGTGTCTGAAGGTTCATGAATGAATCCTCAAGTCGTCAATAAAAAAGTCTAAATGTCAGAGTGAGAAACTGTAAAAACAGATTTTTAACTTTCCCACGGTCCTTGAACTACTCCATCAGGAAAATGAAACGCTTAAAATTTATTCAATCAATGTCTCGTTCAGAAATTTGCTAAAAATGATCCGTTTGCTCAAACCTGATTCTGTAAAAAACAATAAATTCTGTGTTCCTAAACGCAACTATTGAACCATGTGTGACTCGGCTGTGACCGACGGTGACGTGAGGAAAATTCTCTCTTGTTGAGAAAATAATTAGAACAAGACGCACAAAAGAAACGCAGATAAAATCAATTAAGAAAATAAAAATTAAAAAAGAAAATGTTGAAGCCACAAAACCCACCGATGGGCTTAAAAGACACGTTATAACTAAAAAAATCACCAAAATGAATCAATAATCAGAGGAAGAAAGTTTAAAAGCAGAAAGATTACAAAACAATCTCACCTTTACATCAGAATATTTCACTGAAATCTCTTTATTCCACATGTTTCATGTTTTTCTTTTTAATCGCCAAAAGTAAACCGTTTGCTTTCATCGGATTACGTAAAAAACAGCGAAGCCTCGAGCGACAACAGCAGCTCATATAAAATCAGTTCAGACGTGATAAAATACCACCGATACGTTTCACAGGTCAGTCATCTTTAAAAATCACAACCAGACGCACAAAGAGTTTCATCTTTCCAACGGTCCTTGAACGACTCATCTGCAAAGCGAACCAGATCTCAGCCTGCAGTCGTTCATCACAATCAAAACAAACCTTCAGCTCGACGCAGATTCTGTGAAAAACAGAAACTCCTGTGATCCTCGGAGCGACCGTGAAGCCGTCAGCGAGTCGGACAAACAGTCACGTGACCAAGATTCAGGGATTCTCGGCTGAACCGCACACGAGACCCAAACGAGATGAAACAAATAAAAACGCTTTTAAATATCTACAGAATCCCTGTTTGTGGCTCCAGTGCTGAGAAACGTTGCACATGATTCCTTTTATTTCATTTTTTTATTTTTTGGAAAATAAATCAAATAAAAGTTCCCATTTGTGGCAGTTTTGAGCCACTTTTGCATCTTTTTGTGTCAAATTTATACTTTTTTTTGCCATTTGAACAATTTCTTAAGTTATTTTTTCCTCTTTTTATGTCAGATTTGTACGATTTCTACATCTTGTGGATTTTAGCGTCTTTTTGAGTCATGTTTGCATCTTTTCGGGCTCTGTTTTGTCTCTTTGCGTCGCTCTAGCTGCTCCTCTCTGAGTTCTCTCTCCTTGGTGTTGTTCTGGTTCCGTAAAACGAACCCACAGCGAGTTAAAACGAGAGGCTTCTGCTGCCGGACGTGGAACAGCGACGGACTCGTCTCTCAGAAACATCCCCACTCGGTTTTTAAAGTCCGCTCATTTGGCAGCGATTGATTTTCGGGCGTCTCCGGTCCTCAAAGAAACAACGTTCAGGACATCTTTGAACCCCGCCGAGACACAAACACATTCGCAGCTCGCTCTTTTAAATTCTCATCCAGGTTCCCAAGTTTCTGAACAAACACAACAAGCCTCGATGAATTTAAAGACGTTCCTCATTCACAGCTGCAGCAGTCCATGTTCTTCACTCTGTGACTGCTCGCCCAGCGTTAGCATTTAGCCGCTAAAGAGCTGCACTCTGACAGGAGACGAAGCAGCAGAAAGAAAAGCAGAAGTTTGACTCTGCAGCTCCAGATGTTGGGTTTTTACAGCCAGAGACAATCAACAGCTGCAGCAAAGTGTGGGGAGGCGCAGACGCAGCAGCTTTTCTGACGAAACTGTGGAAAGCGTCGATTAAAAGTTGTTAATAATGTGAGAAAACTGCCAAATAGTTCAACACCGAGCCGCAAAAATAGAAACGTGTCTCTTGTTCAGGGTTTTATCGACAGCAAAACCAACAAAGGTGTTGCTCTGATTATCGTCTGTGTTCTGAAGCTGCTGATGTTTGTTTTTCTAATTACATTTTTTTTATTAATTGTTTTTTTGGATTAAAACAAGGAAAAATCTGTAAACTATAATTAAAAACATACATGATCATTCTTTTAAATATCAGGTAAATAACTCGATGTTTGCTCATTTAAATGCTGCAAAACTGTAACTCCAGTCAAATGTTGTAAAAGTACTTTTTGATGTGACTCACAGTGTTTGATGTTTTTATCGCTGCATTGATGAGCTTCATCGACTCAGATGAACATCCACAGCGTGCACACTGGAGTGCATTAGCAGACACACACGTCTGAAGTGTGTCAACACGACACACACACACACACACAC